TCCAAGGCAGCTACCCAAGGAGATTTTTCTCTTTTAGAGGAAAGTGTCTTCTTCCAGATCCATTTGAGACTCCTCCCAGGCATCTCCTGAAGTCTTTTGTCCTCTGTTTTAGAGACAGAATGTCCTGCGTAGCAACCCCAGACTCCTCCAGGGCAGCTACCCGAGATGATTTTTCCCTTCTCTAGGGATCTCCAGACTCCTCCAGGGCAGCTACCCGAGATGATTTTTCCCTTCTCGAGGAATCTGTGTGCTCCGTAATCAGCCTGAGACTCTGCTGAGAAATTTCCCAGAGTCTTTCCACCTCTGCTTTCGCAACCTGACATTCCAGGTAGCAGCCTCAGACTCCTCCAAGGCAGCTGCCCAAGATGATTTTTCTCTTTTCGAGGACACTGTCTCCTCTGGGATCCACCCGAGACTCCTCCCAGGTATCTCCCAAATTCTTTTGACCCCTGTTTTAGAGACATAATATCCCAGGTAGCAACTGCAGACTCCTCCAGGACAGCTACCTGAGATGATTTTTCCCTTCTCGAGTAATCTGTGTGCTCCGTAATCAACCTGAGACTCTGCTGAGATATCTCCCAGAGATGGGAACAAGGTTTGGATCAGAGATGTTTTTGGCAACAAAGGCTATTATGATATTCTGGGGCTTGTTTTGCTTGAAGGGCATGCCTGGATGTACTGGAGGGGGAGAGTGAGTATTCTGTCTCCCAGCTGCCTCAAAGCAATTAACTCCAACCTGTGTTAGAATTACTCCTTCAGAAACTGTAAATGTTAAACCTTACCCCCTTCCCTTAACCACTGCCGTGCCTAACATAGCCGAACTGATTGCGACCACACAGGAAAAAGCCCTCCAGATTTTAGCAACTGTTAACGTGAAAGATACAGTTTTTATGGTTCCCTTGAAGGAAGCAGAGACCACTTTGTTTTTACCTGGGAAGGCGTGCAGCTTATTTTACAGGTCTGCCCCAGGGACACTGCCATTCACCCACCATTGTAATTCAGTCAGATAACCGTAGCCACTTTGCTGCCGGGGTGGCTCAGGAAGGGGCAAAAGGCGAGGGAACACAATGGGTATTTCACACAAACGTTTTGCTGAACTGTGTTATCAAACCCCACAATACCGAAAGGCCAGCACGGCTCTCAGATGCTGTAACGGAAGTTGACAGCCACTGGTGGGTAAATGAATGTCCTAGGCTCACGGCTTTTTACCCCAGACCCCCCTCCCTTCTGCCAGGGAAAAGGGAAATAAAGGATCCTGTAAAACCACCCCACTATCCAGGACAACCTGTTCTAATGGACCTACCAACAGTAGGGGAAGTACAAGGGAAAGGGAAAGGGAAAGGGAAAGGGAAAGGGAAAGGGAAAGGGAAAGGACCTGACATTCCAGGTAGCAGCCTCAGACTCCTCCAAGGCAGCTGCCCAAGATGATTTTTCTCTTTTCGAGGACACTGTCTCCTCTGGGATCCACCCGAGACTCCTCCCAGGTATCTCCCAAATTCTTTTGACCCCTGTTTTAGAGACATAATATCCCAGGTAGCAACTGCAGACTCCTCCAGGACAGCTACCTGAGATGATTTTTCCCTTCTCGAGTAATCTGTGTGCTCCGTAATCAACCTGAGACTCTGCTGAGATATCTCCCAGAGATGGGAACAAGGTTTGGATCAGAGATGTTTTTGGCAACAAAGGCTATTATGATATTCTGGGGCTTGTTTTGCTTGAAGGGCATGCCTGGATGTACTGGAGGGGGAGAGTGAGTATTCTGTCTCCCAGCTGCCTCAAAGCAATTAACTCCAACCTGTGTTAGAATTACTCCTTCAGAAACTGTAAATGTTAAACCTTACCCCCTTCCCTTAACCACTGCCGTGCCTAACATAGCCGAACTGATTGCGACCACACAGGAAAAAGCCCTCCAGATTTTAGCAACTGTTAACGTGAAAGATACAGTTTTTATGGTTCCCTTGAAGGAAGCAGAGACCACTTTGTTTTTACCTGGGAAGGCGTGCAGCTTATTTTACAGGTCTGCCCCAGGGACACTGCCATTCACCCACCATTGTAATTCAGTCAGATAACCGTAGCCACTTTGCTGCCGGGGTGGCTCAGGAAGGGGCAAAAGGCGAGGGAACACAATGGGTATTTCACACAAACGTTTTGCTGAACTGTGTTATCAAACCCCACAATACCGAAAGGCCAGCACGGCTCTCAGATGCTGTAACGGAAGTTGACAGCCACTGGTGGGTAAATGAATGTCCTAGGCTCACGGCTTTTTACCCCAGACCCCCCTCCCTTCTGCCAGGGAAAAGGGAAATAAAGGATCCTGTAAAACCACCCCACTATCCAGGACAACCTGTTCTAATGGACCTACCAACAGTAGGGGAAGTACAAGGGAAAGGGAAAGGGAAAGGGAAAGGGA